CCCCCTGCCCCGGTCGTAGCCCAGGCCCCACGGGGGGCCGCCCCCCCCCCTCCACACCGCCAGAGCCACAGTCGTGCTGAGCTGCGGTTTACCCTACAGGGGTCTGCGTCCCTTTGGCTAAAAAGTGAGTGAGTCCCAGGCATGAGAATGCCCCGGCGTCTCTGCACCCTCAGCCTGGCCTTGCCTTCCGGGTGGCCCGTCCCTCCGGGGCCACCACTGTCCCCGTTACTCTTCTCTATGTTTTCTGTCGCCTCCTGACATAATCTACATTCACATGCTCTCCATTTGGCGCCAGTCCCCGTCAGTGGAGTAGAAATTGCATGAGGGGTCTGCCGGGCGGCTGACTGCATGCACCCCACCTGGGGCAGCCCTGTCCAGGAGACAGAGGCCAACGTGTACCTGTCCCCGTAGGAAATGAGCCAGCTTAACCTAGAGATTTCAAGTTCTTATAATGTACATGCATTACATAATTAGCATAATTAGAAACAGCTAATTAAACGCACTGACACGACAGATCAATATTACCTCAATACGCCTTGTTTTTTCAAATGCATTTCTCTGGTCTGAGTAATAAGCGGGAAATCATTTTTTTTTTTTTATGGTCTGAGGCTCAACACATTATATGTCCAATGTACTAAAGATCTCTGTATTAAAATCCATCGCTCCCACCGTGGAGTAGCCTCTACCAGGGATGACCTTCAGCTGATAGAAGAAAACTCTGCATCATTTTTATATCATAGAGTCTAGGACAGTGAGATCCTTGGAACACAGAGAATTTATTTCAAAATAAAAATGCTGTGAGCCACTGGGTGTTTTTTCTCTTCTGCAGTGATAAGCGGTGGTGGGGGGTGGGGGGGAGAGAAAGGAAACGGAAGTGGTAAGCATACCCCCAGCAAAAAGGCTGAGAAGAAAGTGCCGGCGACCCAGAGGCTGAGCTTACCTCTTTCCTTTCTTTCAGGTTCGTCAACATGACAATGGTTGCAGATTTCTGCTCCCAGATCATCCTCCAGAAGTCATTCACTGTCCCCTGTTTAGGGCCTGTGAGCAGAGGAAGGTCCCAGATCAGACCGAGAGAGGTCGCTGCGAGCCCCAGGCCTGTTGCCCTGGCCCTCAGGCCCCAGGGACGGCTTCCCCACCAGCCCTGAGGAAGGGGGTGATGGGTCTGCTGGTCCACTTCACACCCTACAGAGTCCCAGAACCGGAGGAGGTGGCAGAGCCTCCCCATTCTGTCCTACCACTCCCGCCGATGTCCCGCTGGGGCTGGGAAATCCTCAGGAGCTAAGTAAGACCCAGTTGGGTGAGTATCTTCCTGGACCATAAAGGCTATTCAAATGGGAGCTGAGTTTCAAGCTGCCTGTCAAAGTGGTTTGTGGCCACTGGGGTGCTTGTCAAAGCCTCAGAATATGACCCTCCGTCCAGAACTGCTGAAGCAGAGTGTGTGTGTGTGTGTGTGTGTGTGTGAGAGAGAGAGAGAGAGAGAGAGAGAGAGAGAGAGAGAGACACTGCAGGCTGACTGACCCACACGCCATGTCTAACCCCCCTTCCTCTGAAAACATCTCATCTTCTGGCTGCCCTGACAGCCAGTAACACTGTCCAGTGAGATGTGGGTTGAAGTCCCTGGGGAAGGGATCTGAACAAAAGATAAAGTGTCCCTGGAAGAAAGTCCTCTGCCCATTGCCCCCTTTCCTGCCTGATTAGGGACACAGTGCCTCGAGGTACATGTTGTGACCCTGAGGATGACACCATGGAGGGTGCAGAGGCATAAAAGACGCCCCTCTCCCCTGAGCTGCCGCCCCAGCCCTGAGCTTAAGAACGAAAAAGACATTTCTATTGGTGTCAGCTAGTGTTTGTCAGGTTTTCTGACATTTAAAGCTGGGCCTATTCCTGATGGATGGTGGGCGTATGTGTATCTTCCTATTTTTCAAGGAATGTGCATTTAAGATGTTGATCTACACTGAATTTTGGGACCCACAGCTCTAAATACCCTTGCTGAGGAGTCAGGACGTCCAGGAAACCTAGTTTTAGCTCCAATGACACCCAACCGCACCAGTACTGGCTCCTGGGGATGCAACCCCTGGGCAGATGGACGAGATGCTGGATTGAAAGTAATCCCCAAACGGGACAACTTGGAAGCCACATAGAGCTTAGCCAGCCGAGGGACATTCAAGGTTTTCTAACGCAAGTATCGACATGCTGAAGTGGCAACCCAGACCACTGGGTGTCTGGGTTTAAATCATGCAGGTGTGGAAACAGATCGTGTGTCTTTCTGCACATACACGTCGTGTGGCTGCACACCTAACATGCCTGCTGTATGACAGACGCCCCCAAACGCTCCATGTCTGTCTGCCCTGACCACAGACAGGGGGCATATGCTCTCAGAGGTTCCAACTCTTCTGCTCTTTTGAAACCTTGTTCCTAGGAGGAGTTTCATCACCTCACAGTATAATGCTTCTCGAACTCTACTGAGCAGAATGACCTGGGAACGCTGGCCAAAATGCAAATTCAGGGACAGCAGCAGGTTGGGGGTGGGGCCTGAGCTGCTGCATTTCTGACCAGCTCCCAGGGGATGGGACACTCCTGGCCAGTGAAGCAGACACAGTGGGCGGCAAGGCTGTGTGAGATTCATGACAGCTTTGAATTCTGTGCTTCGGGAAAGGCTAGACGGACTCTGATCAGCTAAGTAAATGTAACAGCACACACACGTACAAAAAGCCGACGTAAACCCTCAGGATTGTTGGTACCGGATAAAGAAGCAATCGCCTTCCATGTCATTTTACCAAAATCATGTTCAGAAAGTAACTTAACAAAAAGCTTACCTTGAGCTGCTATGAATTTATTCTTCTCTTTATAACCCTAGAAAAATAAAATCAGATTTATAATTTTTCAAAATGATCGTTGTGGAAGGATTTTGTTGTTGTTGTTGTTAGGAAAGTAACACGTATCCATCATGAAGAATTTGGAAAACACAGAAAAGTACGAAGAAAACTCGCCAGGAATTCCAGAAATAACATATGCTATTTTTGTATATCCCTCTCCAGTATTTTTTCTGTGAATACCTTCCCAGACACACACACAAGCAGAAACACAGACACACACGTATATATATTTTAAATTGGTTACTATGTACACATTCTCTTATATTGAATTTTTATAATAATTTAAAATTTCTATTAAATGATCTTTTAAGGTTCAACTAAAATGGATTCTTAATAATCCATTGTGTATGATTTTACCACAATTTATTTAACTGGTCCCCTCTGTTCTGTTTGGTCAGTGATATAAATAATGCTGTAATGGACATCCTTAGGGCTTATCTGCATCTTAAGAACAAATCCCCGACACAGGTGCTAATTCAAAAGGCCCAGCACTTTCATGCTCTCTGTGCTGTGACCAATGTGGCCACTGCGCTCAGGAAAGTTGTGACAATTTACATCTGTGGCCCCGGAGAAGAAAGTGCCCAACGGTCATGATTCACACTCAACCCTCAATGGTCCAGGCATGAGTGTCATGCTGGGTGGGGGGCTGGGCGTACTTACATCTATGTATGAAGCATTGATGTAGTCTGAACATGGGGTTCCGTCCACCTGGCTTAAAATTACCCTGGAATGGTCATCTGCAAAAAAACCCAACACAAAAACCATGACATTAGGACAAGGGAATCACATGCACAGTATTAAACACTACAAAGGACATAACCATGGTGATCATGGGACATAAGGGACATTCTTCTTAAATATTCCCACAAGATCCTCAGTGCCCTGAGGTCGGGGATGCACCTGTTGTACCTCAGCACTGAGGACAAGCCAGGCCCCAAACAGGAGCTCAGTACAACCTGTGGGATGATGACAGGTAAGAATTTCAGGGTCCAAGAGTCGGTCTGCTGCACCATCGCGTAGACACAGCAGAACATGCGGGACCCCTACAGTGTGATGGCAATATTCTCTGAACCCCAAATCAGGCCTTAGTACTGACCAGTGCGGGTACCCTCAGGACCACTTCCGGGGTCCAGTCTCCCAGGCTTTCCAGGAGGAGCACAACTCTGCCTCTGGACACATGGACACCAGGCTCTGAGGTTTGGGACTCCAGACCCCAGTCCTCATGTTCAGGTCTGCCCCAGAGCAGGAAGGTAAGCCACACTCACATGGACTGCCTGGGCAGGATGGGGCACTGCCTGGAGGATTCTGGCCTGTGGTACAAGCGGTTTTCCAGTGTGGGAGGGCCGACCAGGGAGGGCTGTGTGCGGTGTGTGTGTGTGTGTGTGTGTGTGGTGTGTGTACTTGTGGGGTGTATAGTGGTGTGTCTTGTATACAGTGTGTGTAATGTGTGTTGTATTTATGTGAGTGTGGTGTATATGTGTGTTTGTGGTGTGTTTGTGTATGCTTGTGGTATGTATTTGTGTGTACACACATGTGGAAGAGTTTTCAACCAGGGCCCTATGTGACCTACATGGGTCCACGTCACTTCTGTCTTCATGGGCCCCTTTCTCCAAAAGAAAAAAATTACACATTTTACTTTACAACTGTATTAGTAGCTGGTATAAAGATGAGTGTGAGGACTTCCCTTGTGGTGCAGTGGTTAAGAATCCGCCTGCTGATGCCAGGGACACGGGTTCGAGCCCTGGTCCAGGAAGATCCCACATGCCGTGGAGAAACTAAGCCCGTGCGTCACAACTACTGAGCCTGCGCTCTAGAGCCCACGAGCCACAACTACTGAGCCTGCGTGCCACAACTACTGAAGCCTGTGCACCTAGAGCCCATGCTCTGCGACAAGAGAAGCCACCGCAATGAGAAGCCCGCGCACCGCAACGAAGAGTAGCCCCCGCTCGCCACAGCTAGAGAAAACACGCGCACAGCAACGAAGACCCAAAGCAGCCAAAAATAAATAAAATAAATAAATACATTTATTAAAAAAAAAAAAAAGATGAGTGTGAACCAGGCTGGATTAGGTATATATTTTCTTCTGATTCGCAAAGAAATTAGATGGTTTCATGGGTCCCTACAGGTGGTATGGCCCCGGCCCTGGGTCTCCCCGCTGGTGTGTAAGCGGCCAGCCGCTCCCAGGAGTAGAAATATGAAGAATGCCCAGACTCGGCCCGGGGCCCGGGGATCAAGCTGCTTCCGCGTTTACTATGCTGCGCTGGGCACAGCGCATGGTGGGTACTTCGTATGTATTTACTGCATTAATTATTGAATAGTTCCGCGTCCTGGCCCCTGCTTTGTCCCCTCCTAGTCACAGGCTGTATGTCTCCCATTTACATGGAAGGAAGCTGGGTTGACTGCGAGCTGTCTGGACACTGTACCACTGCTGCTAGCGAGCACAGCCAGTGCAGCTCTCAGGGTCAGTCACGGGCCCACACAGGGAGGTCAGGGTGTCCAGCCTCAGCCCACAAAGGCTCGGCCACGAGACCCTTCTGCTCAGGGGCTGACAGCCCTGAGGCAGAAATAGCTCTGGCTGATCACGTATAAAGCTAGTTGAACATAATTTGGACCAATTTACCCTTTTGAGGACAGCTATAGAAAGCAGGGGGTAAAAAATAGCGTTCTGGTTAGATTTAGCATCTTGCAGTTCTAAGAGCTTCCTGTCTTTTTACTCTAAAAAGTCGCACTACTCTTTCAAAACACTATTTCCTAAAATTACCAGGTGTTGGCGTTTTTCTTCCAGAAAAGAGGATGCTCTCTTGCTACCGGCCGTGGAGCCCTTGGAACATGCAGCCTCTCAGCACACCCAGCATCTTGACCTCTGTCCTCAGAGCTCCCTAGAGCCACATCCAGGACTGGGCTCCCGCCCCAGGGGCACCTCATAAATCGGATACATTTACAGCCAATCTCTGCTTGGGGAAGAGGGCACCAGACTGAGGGCCTTGGGCCCCCGCCCCTCTCCCTGCCCGTTGACCCTGACCTCAACCTGAGTAAGAGAAGGGTCTCCCAGCCTTGGGATTGGGGGAGCAGGCCTGGGAGCCCCCTGCACGATGTCCCCGTGATCCAGCTGCCCCAGGGCATCTCTGGCCAACTGCTCAGTTTAATCAGATACGCTTCTCCTGTGTCTGGCTGTTGCCAAACGCCAGATGCCACCCAGCTGGCCATCTCCAGGGCCCACCCCAAGTATCTCCAGACCACTGCTCCGAAAACGCATCCTCCCACCAACATGAAACACTCACATCCTGGCAGAGGTCCCGTGGGCCCTTGGGGATGGCCAGCACCCTCAATTACCTCTGACGTGGCCCTCCTGGGCCAGGAGGGGCTGAGGCAGGACCCACATTTTCATACCTGCAGGAAAGGCCAACTCACTTCCACAGTACGAGCTGGAGGACACGGCTTAGAGATGCTGTGCCGGACCAGGTCCTGCTGGTCCCCGTTGGTGATCCTCTGGGGAGGCGGTGCCCACTCCCCCAGCCATCACATCTGGGAGCAGTGGTGGGTGCAGGTAATTCCTACACCTGGCCACTAATTCCGCCCGGTCGAGCTCCCACCAAAACTACTCTTAATCAGCAACGTAATCGTTAGCTTTAAAAGATACAGTGTTCAGTGAGTGATAAGGACAGGAATGCAGGCGAGGAACCTGGGAAAGGGCTTGGCGCTGAGTGGGTCCTCCACGCGTACGTTCTGCAGTCAACGCATCAAGTAATTAATTAAGCTAGTTAATTCAACTAATACTAGATGCTAACTTCCAAATATCCCGATTTTTATTCGACCAAAAACATTCCAAAGATCCCCAACCTCCTGCAAGGTTTTCCTTTCCCTTGAGCTATTCAAGCCGCGAAACTTGCCTCCGATAAGCCTCACCCAATCAAACAGCAAGTCCTCTCAACGTGATCATTGCAGTGTGTGCAGAACCTGACCCTGGTCCAAGCCACCCTCTCAGCTCGTCTGTGTGACCACAGTGGCCTCCTGACCCGTCTCCCTGGTGCTCCCTTGGCTGCCTCTACAAATATGTGTTGGATGGCAGACTACTTAGTCAATTTCTCTGGTTTTAGTTGACCCAGGCTCATGGTGGGCTCTGCAGAAAACACCCACAAAAAAACAACAAAAAAAACCCAAACAAAACCACAAATAAATCCTATGCACGCAAAATGGCAAAGAATTGTTTCTGTCAAGTGCCGATAATCCAGAGACCACACAGAGGAGGCGGACCACAGCTTCTCCTACCTACAGAGCAGCTGGACTCCATTCTAACCCTAAAAATGCAACCAGGAGCCGACATGCCGAGGGCCAGCACAGACCAGCTTGCTCCACCCCACGGAAGCACCGCCTCAGAAGGGAGGTGTTCCCTGGGACGCGGGGAGGCCTCGGTTTGGGGTTCAAAAGTGAACTCCCTGGAGTTTTTTGAGGCTGCCCTTCTGTTAGCCCGATGGCAAAGCCAACAGGAGGGTCCAGGATGGAGGAAGGATGTCGCAAACCTCCCGGGCCAGCTTCCACAAAGGCAGCTTGGGACTCTGAGGGTCTGTCTTGGCACCGAGGCCAAGGCGCAGCCCATCCAGCAACGCCCCTGGACAGATGTGTCTGCTCCCCGGCCCCCCACCCCCTGGATGCCGCCCTCCCCAGCCCATGGCCACCTTTAGCTGTGGTGGTAAAAATCCAGTTACTTCTAAGCCTTCCCACAAAGCTGCCAATGTCAGACAGCTCTCTTATTCTGCCACTTCTGCCCTTGGTACAGGAGCCTTGTTGCTGATGGCAGAAGCACAGCGTCCAAGATGGGAGATGCCCAGGGCCACCAGCTGCCCGAGACCCAGGCACAATTTGGGTCCATAGGAGGAGCCCTGCCAGCCGGTGCAGGGGGGCACCCCTCTTGGGCAAATAGACCAGGCAGTGCAGGTCTCAACAGCGAACACAGGCTTGGCAGCCAGACCCAGAGCAACACAGGCTACCCGAGTCCTGGGTAGCAGACAGACACCTAGACTCCCAGTTGCGAAGGCTTAGCCACTGCACTGACCCAGGCCCTGATCTCCAAGCCCCCGAGCATCTGCTGTCTGGACAGCCAGGGTCACCAGTAGCTGCAAGGCAAGGCTGAGTTTAGTCAAAATGCCACCCATCGCACAAAAAAAGTAAAATCTTACTGGGAAGGATGTTGGGATATCTGTTTTTCTCTTTGTTTTCTTCTTTATTGGCCAGCTCAAAAGTTCCTTGTATGTGTCCAGACGGCAGTGACTAGAAGAAAGCGCAGGGTCAGCACTAAATGTGAGGAATCCAACACCGTGTTTACGTCGCCTCCCTACTGAGCGCAGGAATCCAGAAATCTGGTCTCTGAGCACCTCCAGTGCTGGGCCCATCTCTCTGCTCCTGCCAGTGGAAGTTTCTGCCTCAGGCGCTGGGCCGGCACCAGGCAGAGATGTGATGGAGACACAGGCCCGCCTCCCCTTGGGCCCGCTGTCTAGTGGGGCCAGCGGAGGTGCAGATAACCTGATGACCCATAGCTGGACCCCGAAGTGCATTAAGGCAGGGGCTGGCCCGTGCATTGCCACAAAACCCCCAGGACTCACAGTCCTGGTCCAGAGCAGGCCCTGCACAAGTACGTAGGAACTGGCCACAGCAGAGCTCTGATCCAGGAGCAAGGACCCAGATGCTGGGCTGAAGGACGAGTAGAGTGATGGCGAAGGACCATCCTCGAGCCCTCACCTGCTGAGGACTTGGTGTGCTCTGAGGACCAGTGGGACAGGCACAGCTGGGGGCCCCTTGAAAATGCAGACCCCAGGCCACCCCAGGCCCGCACAGCAACTACCCACTTCCCCAGGGGACCTGCACACACCGCCCTAACCCTCCCTTTGTCTTAGAGGAGGAAAATGAGTATAGGGGCTCGGCTAGGCCCCTAAAGCTGACGTGTGGCACAGCGGGTGTCAGTTCAGCATCCTGACTTCTAGTTCTTTCCATGACTCAGAGGCCCTCGGCTCTTGTTAGCGCCAACTGTCTTCCTGTTTGCTTGCTGCTGGGGGGGCTCCATGCTCAGGGGGACTCCTCGAAGTGCACAGTGGGAGAGAGCCTTCTGAACCCCCAAATCACATCCTTCAACATTCAGCCTGACCGTCAGATGAACCGGGGTCACTGGTGTTAACATCTATCGAGTGTTTACGATGTGCCAGGCACTGAGGGAGGAGCTGGGTCACCTGCCTTCACAACTTACCTATTATCAGGTGACACCAGGATCAATCCTGTTTTGCAGATGAGGAAAGAGAACCCCAGGGTGGCTGCAGAATTGCCCAGAGTCACCTGCCTAGCACGTAGCAGGCAGTGGGAGGGCACGTGGAGCTGGCACCCGGACCACGAGAAGGGCACTCGCTTCCTTAAGTGTAGGGACAAGCGAGGGCTTCCCTGCGTGCGGCTGTAAGTGCCCAGGAGACTGAGGCACAGCCTGGGATCAGAGCCAAGGCCCCGAGTCGGGTGTGCAGCCCACGGGGGCCCAGAGCCCCCTTCTCCCGGGTCGGGGGTTTCTCCATCACAGACCCAGCCCCGGCCAGCCCATGTCCTCTTTCCCCACCACACCCAGTGGCCACAGGCAGAGGCTCTGCCAGGGTCAGTGTGGAGGCCCACCCGGCGGGCACCTGGGCAAGGCTGGTGGGCAGTTCTCCGCCAGACCAGCACCTCCTCCGCCGGGAGCTCTTGGCTTTTTATCGAGCTGCCTTAACACTGAGTTTCTTGACTAAACCCCAACGTGAAATTTGTAGCAACATTCTAGAGCCTTCTCTTTTTCACCCCAAAGCTTTTCTGAACCCAGCACTAAAAACAAAAATGAGGCCTGAGACCATCGCGGGGGATGCATGACGTTGTGCGTTTGTCAAAACCCATAGAACGTGCAGCGCTGGACCCCTAACCCGGACTTTAGTTTGTAACAACGAGTCAATGTTGGCTCATCAGTTGTGACAAATGTAACACACTCAGACAAGATGTTAATCGTTGGGGAAACCGTGCAGGGAAAAATGGGGTATATGGGGACTTGGTACTTTCTGCACAATTTTTCTGTAAACTGAAATCTGCTCTAAAAAATACTCTATTAAAATTAATAAATTAACAGAACAAAAGCAAACCAAGAAGGCTCCCTCTTCCTCTGAAGGTGAGGAAGGTGAAGGAGTGGCTGGAGGGGTCTGAGTGGTAAGGATGGACCCGGCTCTGCCACCCCCAGCCGTGTGGCCCCGGCAGCGACCAGAGAGCAGAACACGGAGATGGGGTGATGATCCTGACTCTGTGGGCGGGCAGCACAGAAGTTCACAGTGGAGGCAGAGCACTCTGTGCCCCGAACTTATACCCCATTTCCAAGCACACAGAATGACCGCCCACACAGAGCAGGCCAGCACTTTCTCCTGCCGTCAGTCACGTCTGAGCTGCTCCAAAGGCACAGGGCTAATAAGAGAGCTCTGGGGCGGGCTGGGTGTGGTCTGCCATAGCTGGGTAACCCCTGCAGCGCCCCGAGTGAGCCGTGCGGCTAGCAGTTGGCTGATAACTACCTTGTGATTGATTGTCCGGTTACGTAAATTGGCTAAAGAGGGTTTGCTGGTTTGTTTGTTTGAGGTGACATTTTTAGGCACTGGGCTTAAAATAACCTGATGGGACAGAGGCTCATGGACGAAGCTGTCTGGAGGGGGGCTTTTCCTCACCTGCAGGGACTTAACCGGGGGCCTGGAACAGACTCTGCTAGGTCCGCGTTCTACCACTGCGGGTGGAGATGGCAGACTGGACATTCACAGAAGTCGTCCTGAGAAGGACGGCAGCTCAGACTCCCCTCATGCAGACGCCGGGCTGAGCTGGGCACACACCTTACCTCTTTCACGTGTTAAGACACTCCCATGGGGGCTGGGAGGGCCTCATGTCATACACGAGGCCACTGAGGCAGAGGTTAAGGATGTCGCCCGAGCCCTCCAGGCTGGTAAGAAGCAAATCTGGGGCAGGAGCCCAGGCAGCCCGTCTCCAGCATCCACGCCTTGATCACCCCACTGAACGGATCCCAGTGCCAGGCCCTCTTTTACTTCGTCAAGTTCACGGCAGCTTCCACTGGCCATACACACAAGCCCCAACTCATTTGGATCGACTGCTTTGAGGCTCATCCGTCTCCCTGCACAGTTTCTGGGAGAGGAGCTCAGGACAGAGGGTGAGCAAAGAAGAGGACGAGCGTTGAGGGCCCAGCTCAAGCGTGTCCACCAGTGGAGGCAAGAGCGTGCTGGTCATGGCAGCTGCGATGCTCTCAGTAGAGCCTGCCCTTCACTTGAGAGAGGATCAAACTGCGGTCCAGAGGGGGACGTGCAGCTGCCCTGGGTCCCCTGGAGCCAGGACCAGGCTCCATGCTGCTGGACTCGACCCCTCGACCCTCTCTCCCGGCCCTTCCCTGAGTGGAGGCCATGGGCAGGAGGGCAGCTGGGAAGGCTGCTCAGTGGCTGGGGTGGGGAGAGCAGAGCAAGGCACTTGCTTTGGTTGCCAAACTGAACGGAGTACCCCAAAACCCAGGAATCAAGAAAAATCACATTCAAAGGCAACATCTAAAAAAATCTAAACGCAAGGGGTTCCCTGGTGGCGCAGTGGTTAAGAGTCAGCCTGCCGATGCAGGGGACACGCGTTCGTGCCCCGGTCCGGGAAGATCCCACATGCTGCGGAGCGGCTGGGCCCGTGAGCCATGGCCGCTGAGCCTGCGCGTCCGGAGCCTGTGCTCCGCAACGGGAGAGGCCACAGCGGGGAGAGGCCTGCGTACCGCAAAAAAAAAAAAATTATGCTAACAACTTCACACAAAGATACAAGACCAAACTTAGAATTACTTGCTCAGGTTACTCAGAATGGAACAAAATTCTTTCTGTGCTCGCAATTAGCACAGAAAATACCTAGTTATATTACTTGCTTTTCAATGGACATTTATTGGTTTACTGTAAGATCCCACGCTGTTACAGTACAAAAGAAGTCACTCCCGCCCCCTCCGGTATGGTATACAGCCTAAACAGCTGCGTACCGCAAAAAAAAAAAGAAAAAGAAAGAAAAAATCTAAATGCAAAAAAAAAAAAAAATCCATGATAACCAAAATATCAAACTTTTAAATAACGTCAGGATCAGCAACAGTGTGGTGATAAAAGCCATGTCAGAGCCTGGGGCAACAGGAAACACCAGAGTGACCCTGTCTTTATTTACATTTGTGCTGTTTTGTTCATCATGGATTGCTTGCATTAATTTTGATGATTTTTAAAAGCTGCATGAAAATAGAATTTATCCAGATGACAGAGTGTTTTGGTGCCCCCTTAAATTTTGCACCTGGGACAAGTGCCTTATCTGCCCGAACCTCTTCCCGGGCCCTCGCTTTTGAGATGGTGGCACAGCCAGCGAGTTCTGACCCAGCCCTCCCTCGGCAAGGGCAGTCACCAGCCTCCACGTGGAGAAATACAAGTACAAGAGGAAATAGGACAAGAATGGACGTGGGGGAAATGGTCCCGTAGCTGCCAACTTGGAGAGTCATTTTGAAAATGGAGACTTAACTTCTCTTGTCAGGCTGAGAGACTGCGAAACAATACTGCTTGGAGCTGTCTTTCACTATGACCTAATATCTCAAAAAAGGGGATACATTTGGAAACAATTAAAAGGAAGCAAGATAAAGGCAGGTGAGGCTTGTGTTAAAAAATAAACAAAAGCATGGGTCTAAATGCGCCATCACCCTGCCGTGCCCTTGTGGGCTGCTTCTGGATGAAAAGTCACTTGTCTGCAGCAGGAGTCATGCTGTCTTTGGATGTCACAATTGTGTACAACTCTTTGCTGTTTACGAAGTCAGAGCCTCATATTTGACCTGTGAGGTCATTAAGGCATCCTCCCATCCCTGCCCCGTCACAGATGACGGAAGCTGTGGCTTCCAGGAGAATAACTGATGGGCCGGGCGGGGCTGCGGTGCCACAGGCAGGGCCAGGACCAGGTGGCCCCCCTGCTGGAAACCCGTCCTCTTTCAAGCTCAACACCAGCGCATGGCTATATACGATATGAGGAAGATGCATAAAAGAAAACTCCAAACACGATCAGGGATAAACACTGGACAGCCAAATCCGAGACAACACTTCCCAGTGTGTCTTGTCTGTCTGCCTGTGCATCTAAGTATCTATAACTATCTGTCTGTCTGCCTATCTATCTATCATCTATCCATCTATCTATCTAGCAGATTCACAATTCATGGAACATTAAATAAAAAAATTAGCAACACAAGGGGAGGTGTCATTAATGTACATTTGCATTTTTGTTGATAGTTAGTAGGATCGGTTTGCTACCATCGGGCTGGACCAGTTAGTCAAATTCATCTTAGCTGTTGCCATCACTAAGTTCATCCAAAACAGTGGTAGCAGGATGAACACACTGACTTGGGCAGAATCAAAGGGCTGCCCAGGCAGAGCCAGTGTCCCCTCAAGGCAGCCCCTCGACTGTTTAATTGATGTTGTGCAGGATGGTTTGGGGGCTCCTTTGCTCTCAGCGTGAAATCGTTATCCTGTGGTCCACTCAGGCGCTGGTCTTGCACATTATCGAGATAACGGTGTTTCCGTCACACTTGACTTTAGAACACGGCACCCAGGGTGTCTGAGCTGCAAGGAGGCTCTGAACCTCTTTCTCAGCCATCTCATAAATGGGAATGAGGGTTAGCGGAGGGTCATCACGGCAGAAACCAGGTTTCCCTGGAACCCCATTTCTGGGACAGTGTTTCGACGGATGCAAGCATTCTGAGCCTTTGGGCTAATTTATCCTGAAACCCAACATCCCATGTCCCAGCGCCCTTCCACGTGACAAGAAAGCGGGGGCCCGAACTCACATTGAATTCCTCCCGAAACCCCTTGCCGTCATCCGCCGACCGGACCCGGGTCTCCTCCTCCAGGTGCCCCACGGGGATGGGAAAGTGCTTCTTGGGCCCCGAGGGGGACCTGCTGAGAAGCATCACCCTTTGCTGCTCTGTGGGATCAACAGAAATGCAGGGCTTGTTGAGCCATATTCCCGGATGGGTGACATTAACCAGACAGACGGACAACGTTCCTGGGGAAATGACACAGCTGGAGGGGGGTGGTCGTCTCAGATCATGAGCATCTGAACGCAAGGTCTGTCTCTTTTAACACACCCTGATCACTCACAGTGACAGACGGACGCCCCTCTGGCTGGCGTCCCCTGCTCTTACCAACCAGAGACGCCTCATCTTCCCAGCTCACTCGCCCACCAGCCACCTCTCCTTCCTCAAGGGATTCAGGTGCCTTCACACTCCAGCTCAACTGTCCAGGTTTGAAATGGAGCGGAATAACAATAGGTGTCTGGGCGCAAATTGGTAACAGGCTGGGAATCAGTTCCGGTATGAGTCTCCCGCAGCCTTGTCTTCTTTGTAACAACTAGTCCTGGTTACTCAAGCCCCCATAAGCTCCAAGAGCAATAAGAGAAGCCATTGCTGTTTTTTTTCTTTTTTGGGGGGGGTGGGGGGAAGGGGCTGGCGGCACTGAAAAGGAGAAGGGCCAGACTTCGAGGGTGTCCCCGGACAAGCTGCTTTTCACAAATTCAGAGTGAGACAGCAAGCGACACCCTGGCATGGGCTTCCCTTCCTAGGGAACGAGCTGCCGTTCTCAACAAGGTCAACACTACTTTGCTGTCACTTGCAAAAGGGCCTGTCCCCACCTGCAGAGCTGTTCTGAAGGCCAGCCAAGAACTCCCTCCAGGGCTCATTCCTCCTGAGACAGTCACTCTAGGATGAGCAGGCGGCCTAACCAGCCCCAACTTCCTCCTCCCATCCGGGCTGTTGGGACACGCAGGGCAGGGAGAAGGGGGTGGGAAGGTGGTGCCTGGAGGCCACGTGCCATCATGAAACCAGGGTCACGGGTCCCCCAGCACAAAACTGCCCTCCTGGGTCTGGCTGAGGTCCTTTGCTGCCGATACTCTTTGTCGTGTGCCGGGTCGGTTTTGTAATTCATCTGAAGTCTGACGGCACCTCTGCTCCCCCAAACCACGGGACAACCAGGCAGCAAGCTGACTGAGGAAGTTGTAGTCACTGGTGTGAACAATATTTTTAAAAGCCTCCGCCTCACATACCTTTCTTGGACGTTTCAACGCACGGGAAGAAAACCAATGTGCCTTTGTAAGCAGAATTTACAAGCTAGTAGCTGCATTTGGAACCTCAAAGAAAGGCAGGAAATTCCCCCTGAGCTACTCTGAGCCTCCCTGCTAAGCACGTTGGTACATCAATTCCCTTCTTCTGGCTGATTGGAAAACTGCGGATTCCAGGGGGGGCCCTTTCGAGAACTGTAAATTATGAGCCCACCTGTCTCAGCGTAGGACGATCTAAGACTTACTGATAAATTTTATATGTTGAAATCCTGGAAAAACGACAGGATATGAACAGTGCCTCCCCCAAAGCCACAAACTGAAATGCCTCAAACGTCTGTTTCACACCGGACAGAAAATGGCACTAGTTTTGAAACGGGGAAACTCCAGTTATAAAGGACGGCATGATACCAGGTAAAGCCAGAAGAAAGTCGCAAAGCCGGAGGACTCCATCATTTAAGTGTTAAGGTGTTAGAAAGGCACGGCCCCCCCAGGCCCGGCCCAGCCCGGCCCCCTACCTTGCTCTTCTAGGATTCCGTTAGGCATCTTCTTGTCGTTGGAGCTGACCACTGCCTTCCTCTGCTTCCTGAACCTTAGAGACACAGACGCGTGAAGTGTCAGCACAGGGAGCTTGCCGAGAGCCCAGACCCCCAGGGATAGCCACCAGGTGAGCCCCGGGGAGAGCCACCAGATGAACTCCGGGGATACCCACAAGGTGAGCCGAGAGAAGCTGTTCCTGCTGTTCATGGCTGAGCCACTGCCCTGGCCCCTTGGCCCTGCCCTTGCTCTGCCCTCTGCCACCCGGCCAGCCCCCGCCTGCTCATCTGCAGTCACAGCCTCTCGCATCATTTCCTCCCCAGCAGGTGTGGGTGAGCCAGCGCCTGGACACTCCTACCTGAAGAAATAGGCTGCAAGGAACAGGAACAGCAGCAAGGGCAGCAGCAGCCAGGCCAGCAGGGGCTGGGGCGCACTGGGGGCCGGAGGGCCGGGGTCCCGAGGGCCGGGGGCTGGAGCGCCTGGGGGCAGAAGCAGGTCCCCGTCAGGACCCGAGGCATGAGGGGAAGCGGGCTCTGGGCAAGGAGAGGTTCCCAACACCAGACCTTGCAGTTTGCAAAGTGGCCCTCCCACCAGCCCCCCTTCCCTGATGCCAGACCCCACTTTAGAGGTCACCAACTCGTCACCCCCATCCCAGCGGCCCAGGACACCAGAACCCTCCTTTACAGTTTACAAACTCCCTTCGTCAACAGTCCTCCTTCCTGGACACCAAAACTTCACTTCACAGTTTGCAACTCAGTCCACCATCCTGGTCCACTGGGTCCACAAAGGCCCCTCTACTTAGATGAGCAGTGCTGACACCAAGAAGCTGAGCTGAGGATGTGACGACCTGACGTGTCCAAGGCCCCCTGCTGCTGGGGAGAGAAGGCCCAGACCCCCGTGTGACCTGTTTCCCCAGGTACCAGTCCCTCCCCCTAACGGGAGGTGGAGGAGGGTGGGAGTGTAGATGCCCTGCTGCTCTGTCCCAGGACAGTGGCCCGTGGCTGCATGGTGACCTGGCCTCCCAGAGCCGGGAGCTGCCGACCTCACCCGCCCAGAGGAAAGCTGGTGACCGGGCACCACCTACACTCCCCTTTCATCTGTCTTTCCTGGACCAGGAGGTGCCACGTCCCTGGACCCAATGTGGCTGCCCAGGGCCTGGCCCGCAAGCCCGAATTCCAGGGGGCTCTGGTGGCCCGGCCGCCACCCTCAAAAGCCCACCCCCGCCCCAGTGTTCTGACTCAGCTCCTGTCCCCTCAGACTGGCGCGCGGCGCCCTCCTCTCCAAAGCATCCTCGCTCGCCAAGGAGCACCTCAAAGGCCCCTCGTCCACGAAGCCCACGCAGCTCCCCTCCGGTGGATCCCAGAGGGGCTCTGCGTGCCTTTAGCACAGAGCCTATCCTCCTGGGGGAACAGGCCCGGGGGGCCCGCCTTCACCCCTGTTTCAGCGGAAGCCCCTAGAAGGCATGACTGGACTGTCATCGCTCTGAGTCACAGGAGCACCAGCAGGGCCCCTGAGCCCAGCGGGGGCTCCACAGCCCCGCAGTCCCCCCGTCTCGCACCCCTCCCCACGTGTCCCAAAGGTGTAACAGGTATCTCACCCCTGCGGCGGGAGCGCTGCCGCCGGCGGCCTGTGGGTGGTCAGTGCTACACTCCCAATAAACGAAGGACTCTTACAGACCTGAGTGACTGCTAGACGTGCAAGCATTGAAGGCTGAGGACAGCGGTGAGGAGGTGACCCCAGCCACCGTAAACCTGGTCGACCTATGACGCGCCTCTGCTCCAGGCTGCCCCAAGCCTCTGCCACCCGAGCTCGTGATGTTCAGGGACCACCGCAGCTGTGCTGGGAGGCTGGGGATGCCAGGCTGAGGACTCTGCTCAGTCCCTCCCTGGGAGCCCCTCTGCTCCAGAGGCTCCTCCCCGACCCTAGGAGCCGACCCGCCTGTGGCCTCCCTGCCTGCAGCTCCTTGGAGCACCCCCGAACCCTGCCAGGGCCTTGGAGCAACTCAAGCCCAGACTGATGGGGGAGACGCCTGCTACCAAGGGGCAGAGCTGGGCCCAGTCCAAGAGAGGCCACTCAGCTCCATCCCTGCCCGTCCAGATGCAGCCGCAGAGCCTGGCAGGTACCCTTCTGCTCTCCCGGGGCGTCCCTTCTGTCGAACTCCTCCTTACATCTGCATTTGCTCAGCTTGACCTTGGCAGTGACTGACGGGCCAGCTCGCAGGTCCGAGGGCTGGATGGGCCTAGCTGAGCGTGCAGGCCTGCCGGGAGCTTCAGGTGGGCACCAGGATCACAGACAGCCCACCCCTGGGGCCGTCAGGGGCTCCAGGGTCCAGCCTCCACTCTCATGCTGCCCGGAGTCAAGGCTGCAGTTACAGACGTGGGCAATTCCATGGCACACCCTCAAGGAGCGAGGCGGAATGACCCAAGGCCCCCAGAAAGGGGCCGTGTACCCAGACACAAGCGATGGGCCACAGGGACAAATGGGTTCCCCTGCTCGGGGTCTCTGTCAGTTGTCAGCAGCCGCCTCCGTTATGGGAGATGGAGGTCAGGCGGGAACAGTCAAGGACCAGCAGGCCCCGTGGGGCTCCGGGAACTGGCGGGGTGTCCATGCCCTGTCTGCGGGGCTGGCCGCGTCTTAGCCCCGGCTCACGGGGGCCAAGGAGAGGTGCACGTGGCATGCTCAGTTCTTCCAACTTACCGAAGGAAGAAGTCTGTATTTTTATGTAAAAATTATCTGATTTTTAAATATTGGTAAGCAATTCAAGCCAAATACAATTTTGAAAACCAATGTGGGTCAGAAAAACCCTCTGCAGGCTGGGCTGTGTTCCCGGGCACCAATGGCTTCCCGACGGGAAGTCAGGGTGATGACTAAGAGGAAATTCAAGTCTCTTTCTGTTTTCATTTCACGGTGATGTGACTCAGACTGGGTGGGGCTGAGGGTCACGGCTGGGGAGCAGAGCGGGGCTCTCCTGGGGGTAAGTACCCCGGTGGTCCACTCGGAGCAGCCTTCTCCCCAGATCTCCCCCAATTCTACGCAGCCAATGCTCCAAGTCAGGTGCGCATGGATGTTCGTGCAAATTTATGCCCACGCACGCCTGAGAAGTGTGCACACGTGTGTGTCGGCTTACATGAAATCTGGTCCTGGAATTTGAAAGTTGGGGGCTGCCGTGTGAGTCCTGACCTCAGTCGTGCACCTGCACGCTTGAACTTGTGCGGATCGCCCGCTGTGCTGGACGGCCCTGTGAGGTGAGGGTAGGCAGCAGGGGGTGGGGAGGCCCCTTGGTTTCCCCCTCAGCCCTGAAGAGTTCTGTGTAAGGCCTTGACGAAGGGACCCCCCCTTCTGGGGTCCCCTCTTGTAGTAAGGGGGGCACTGGATGATGTTCCTCCAATGAGGATCTGCCCTGCCTTGGGGGTCCCTGGGGGAGAGAAGAGGAGGGAGGGAAAGAAGGTGGCAGAGCAGCTGTGTTCTGGGTGGGGGGATGGGGGCGGGGGGCGGCCCCACTGTTTCAGCAGAGGGCGCTTTAAAAGCCTGCTCCCACCCTGTCTGTACCTTGTGCGTTTTGCTGGGTCCTGGTCTATAGGAGCAACGCAGGGATCCAGGCCTGCTGCAAAATGTTCAGACCAAACACAAAACAGTCACGGGCAAGAGCCATCCCTTCTTGTTCCCAGAGTTACACGCTGTTAAACCCGTGGGGTGTATCTTCCCCGACATTCTCCCTACAC